ACAGCAAAATTCCATTGTTTGTTCTCTGCTATAAGAAAATCTTCTTTTTGTCCTTTTTATTTAAAATTTGATCCTTTTTAATTATTTCGTTAAATTTTGGCCTGACATGATAGTTTAATTAACGAAAATATTTTTTTTTTTTCACTTAATTTATGTGAAAAATCCATTTAACAAAAATTAATGACATGATTAAATTTTTTACTTTTAATTATCGTTATACCTCCATCTTCTTTCTCATCCTCTCCTTCCTCTAGCCCTTTTTTTTCTTCTCTTTTTTTTCTTTTACCTCCAGGCGAACCCAGGCTCCTGGGTTTGAGACATGGGTTTAAAGATAAGGTCCTTTTAGGGTAATTTGCGGCACTTTCTCGTAGAAAATATAAGACGTTTTTGTTATTAAATCATTTTTCCTTGTAGAAGTCCAAAGGTCAGAACCAATCTCCCAAATTGGGAAGCAATCCCTGGGATTCGATCTCAATTTCCTCGGAGTGACTTACCTTTATACGTTCTACTTCCATAGTAACATATCCAGTGCCACATAAGACATTCCCCCATTGCATGCGCCTATCATGTCTTCTAAATTCAGTCTCCCACTCCGACCTTTCTCTTTCTTCCCCTATTACAAACAGTGCATCGTTCTGTGTTCTTGTTTTGTTGATTTCTGTTAGAGATGGGAAAGAAGAGAACGTCGCTGGTGAACGTGCTATTTGGATGGATAAAGAGGCATTCAATGAAGGTCAAAGTATTCCTGGGAACATTGGCGGCGTTGGGATCCCTGGTGGTTTTGAAATACCTTGTTCGAGACCATGGCTCTTTCTTTGTTGCGTCTGAAACCATCCATGCCTTGGGAATCCTCGTATTGATTTACAAGCTCAGTACCAAGAGGACCTGTCCAGGCACATTATGCTTTCACCCCTTTTCTTTCTTTTTGGGACTAACAATGATTTTTTTGTTATCTAAATTCAATCCCCAGTTACGTTTATTAATCATACAATTTCTTCTAGGATTCAAGATTTGTTGAATTCAATTACTTGGGTTCGCAAGGAATCCAGCTCGTTGGTTCACGACAAACCCAGCTCCTGGGTTCGCCTGGAGGTAAAAGAAAAAAAAAAAAAAAAGGCTGGAGGAAGGAGAGGATGGGAAAGAAGATGGGTTAAATTG